AATTTGGCAGGGACGTATGTCTGGTGGTTGGCTGACTGGTCTAACCGAAAAGGCGTGCATTAGCAAGTACGAATTCGCGAAGATACGCAGGTAGTTAATTTCCGGCCGGTTGCGTCGCACAGCTAGAGAGGTTCGACAAAAATTCAGAGCCGCCAAGGGTTTTGAATATTGTTATGCTCGGGGTATATATTTGATTAATTATTCATTGGGCGCTTTGCGAATGGCAGAGGGATTGAATAATCGGTACCAATGAGTTCGTGCTAATACACATTGCATAAGTAGCCGAGGTCTCACACATTCATATCGAAATGCTGAAGGTATACTTGATCCTGGAATTGATTTCAACTTAACTTACAGCGCACAGAACGAGGCAGAGAGATGGCAGAGAAATTACGCGGGAGCCATTGTTACATTACCGAATATTCCATTCGTCGCTTAACCGGATTTAGGAAAATCATGGAAAACTACAACGTGACATAATAACAATCAGAGCCGCGTGTGCGGGCGTGAATTGTCATTCGAGAGAAAAGCGCATCGCACCGCTCGCGGAAGGGAGCAATTGGAAAGTGGCACAAAGCGGCGCGCAGAGACTGTAATAACCGATAGCTGAGAGGGAACCGCCTTAGCGTTGCGCAAGTAAACTACGTGGTTATTCCTTCGAAAATGTATCCTGCGGCCGTCGCCGCCTCCGCCGCCTCCGTGAGAGGCGCCGCGACGGCGAGTCGCGTGGCTCGCCCTTCGGCGTCGACTGGACACGCGCCACGGAATCTTACGGCAATAGCGGCGGATTCGTTTTCGCCTACGGGTCTTACCTTTGATCTACGAGCTTTCAATGATCGCTCCGAGATAACGTCAGCCGCGATATGCGAAATCCTTTTTCAAGGAATCGCTGCTTTTCTGCGGAGTGGTGAGCGACTGGAATGACCGTTGCAACAATGCATGGTGAAAATTTATTGGGGGCAAATGCAAATATAGGAAACAGTGACGAGTAACTTTGGTATTACTCCATTTTTTTTTATTTATTCTTTTATTCTTTTTTCTTTCTTTCGTTAAATTTGGGCAGTACATAAAATGTCATCTACTTTTAAAACAAAGCCATTAAGTACTATTTTTAATTTAGCATTATGTAAGAATGATAAACAGTCTACTTTTCATTGCTATAGATGCACATTCATTATCTCAATCAATTTTCCTGGCTCATTGACTACTAATAGTGGTATTGTTTCTTAAGCTTAATGTGTACAGAGTTATCTAATGAGAGAAAACTATAAATTTTATAAATGCATGTATATAATTCTTGTCCAGTAAAGTCCATTGAAAAGAATAGAATTATAAATTAGAATATCGTATAAAGATATTTTTCACATAAATTACTCAGGCAGCTTTTAATAATGTATAAGGTATTTAAAATGTATACACAATATTTTCGAAGAACGAAAAGAGTATTAAATAGAAGAGTGATAATAATAATAACAGTCACGTTAAGGTTGACGGAACGGTGAGGTGGGTGTTGGGAAGTGGGGGGGGGGTATAAACAAACGCTCAGATAGAAATAAAAATAAACATTTGTGCTGTCTTTATTTCTTTTCTAAATGTTTTTTTAACTGATAGAGTTAATAAGGTTAAATATAGAAGCGTTCTTGTTCTTCTTACTCTTTCATTCTTTATCCGGACAATGAATCTACAAATAGAATAGTTTTTTTTCTATAATAGTTCTATAATAAAAGTTTTTCGTAAGCCCAATTAATTTAATTATTTTTTTCTTTTTTCTTTATCCCTTTTTTTTATAAAATGAAAATATTATTTTATAACTCAAATTGGTCCGTCGTGCACTGTCCACAAATTTTAATAACTTATTGAAAGTTTATAACTTTGACTTCCACGTAATAAAGTTAACACCTTGAGATTGTTTAGAAAAATTTCAACCAATGAAATTGCCAACCAAAGCGTATAAGAAATAAATTATTATAAAATCAATGATCGTATAAGAAAATAGTTGTTTCGAAATTTCAATGGTCATCGTTTTTACAATTGTTGGTTTCATTCAATTTTCTACATAATTTACAAAAATGATTGAATTAAAATCTTTCGAATTTATCAATACAATTTCTGAAATTTTACAAAGTATTTAAATATATGAAAGTAACATACACATTTAATTGTTATTATTATGTTAATTTCCACTTATTATGATTGTTATGATTTCCAATGCAAGTTCTACGTTGAATGGTTAGTATGGGAAATCATTAAATATTTAATATTGTATCCTGCAAATTTGTATTACGAGTAACAAAAAAAAAACAAGACAATGTAAATATATATATATATATATATATATATATATATAATCGTAAAGTTGCCGTGCGAAATTGCCTAATTTATTTACTCTTAATTGTATATTACGGAACACCCTATTTATTTGAAAAAAGAAAAAAAAAACATTTTATTAAATATTAGGTCGTGTCGAAACTAAATCTCGAGGCACACATCATTTGTCGTTCAAAATATGCTTTATTGAAAGGCATCAAAATCGATTTCCATAAGTAATAACTGCCATATCCAATGGAGGCCAAGTCATCGGATGTGTTAGTACGTAATGCTCATCCGTTCGAATAAAGGACATTCGACCATTTGATTAGTTCAATGCCGGAGCTCACATTTGACATCCAGGCTTCATAACTTTGCAGCTTAAAGAACGTCGCCATTATTCGTCCGTTCCAGATGCGCTATCCTCCCGTCTTTTCTTGCTTCCAAGAAGAGACCTCGTGGCAACACGTACAGAGCTCGGAGTCAGAAAAACAAATTAAGGTGCGGGAAGGCACTATATGTTTGTATGTGTATGCGTACGTGTACGTGTACGTGTACGTGTATTTATGTGCGCGTGTGTATGTGTATATATATATATATATATATATATATATATATAAATATATATATAAAACTGTGGTCTTGGGTTTAGCGGGTCACGCGTCGAAATCACATATCGGCCTCTACCCGCGGAAATCGCCGGGCCATTGTGCGCGGGCGGCCCCGGGATAAACGACGATGAAAAGGAGCGAATCTAAGCGTGCGCGCACGTGTGCGCGAGGGAGCGCGTGGGTTCCGGGGGACGCGTGGGCGATGCTGCGGCACGCGACACGACCGTTACGTTGGAAAGGCCCAAGCGAGCCACCGGAAAGAGGGTGCGGATGCGCGAGCGCGCGCTCTGCAACGGGAGGGGGACCCACACACGAGCTATCCATCGTGCCTTTCACTCACACATCCTTGCCACGAGGCACATACCTACGAGGACGACAAAAAAGACGCGGTGCTTCTCTGGAGCGCAGCTTGCTTTCCTTTTGTCCGCGAGCTTTCAATTCTAATGGGCCTCTACGTGCGCAGCGTCCGTCCGATTCGAAAACATTTTCTCCGAGACTTCGGCTACCTTCTGCCCCTCAAAATGACATAATGCATTATGGACGTCTCTATGCCTGTGCAAGACCCCGTGCATTGTGACGCTTTCAATAAATATCTCCGTTATTATGCATTTTTATGTTGGAGTAGTGTGTAATTGTTGGAGAGTATCCATATGAATACGAAGCAATTTTCAAAATTTCCTTGCTTTTGCAGTGCTTTTGCTTATACTCTGAGCGCGGCAGCCGAACTAATTGATATCGAATTTCGATTCTCGTCTGCCGCTCATCCATCCACAGCTCTGCGAACGTATTCTTATAGCACCTTTAAACGCAATTGCTGGGAATTCTGAGATGTATTTGATAATGGCACGTCCGTTATTAAAAGTTTATCTGATAATTCAAAATTTCTACGAAATGACAAGTAGGGACGTTGAATTCAGAGAGTAGCGGCCCATTTAATAGCTGCTGGTAACCAAAAAATCCCGTATACTCCTTTAACTCGCTCATATAGGTTGCCGAGAAAAAGGGGGAAGACGCTTTTTCTACGAGACGAATAAACCAAGGGGTATTATAGAAAGGTGGTAGACATTCACCATTTAGGGTACGTTGGTGTTGGACGACGGCGGGGGGTGGGTGTGCAGGAGCGCGTCAAGCGGTAGAAATGAAGAAGGTGGAGGAAGTGGTAGAGGAGGAGAAGGAGGAAGTGACGGTAGAGGAGTAGGAGGAGTAGGAGGAGTAGGAGGAGTAGGAGGAGGAAGAGGAGGAGGAGGAGGAGGAGTAGGAGGAGTAGGAGGAGGAGGAGGTGGAGGAGGAGGAGAAGGAGTATGATTATGGGGAGGAAGTGGGGGAGGTAGAGGGGGATGGAGGAAACCGAGGGCATCTGGCGCTGCTGCATAGAGGAGAGCCACGACACAATCATAGACACTTTGGCATATCGCATTCTACGTAGAGGCGGCTACGTCCGAGCCCCGTGCAACGCGTCTCGGTTCGGTCGACGTGGTGCGTTATGGGGTGGGGTGTGGTGGGGAGCCGCTGCTGCCTTCACCGCCGCAGTCGCCGCCGCCGTCACCGACGTCGAGGAAGGGAGAGAGCAGATGCCGGAGCAAGGATTGGCCGGCGGCCCGCGACCGCGACGTCCCCCATTGGCAGGGGAACGCGGGGCCCGTGGACCTGCATTGGCCCGGCAGCACGTGCGAGCCACCTGCGGTACTCGAAGGTGGGGGCACGCTTATAAAAGGCCCAGCGACACCCACCTCGCGCTCAGAGACCGGCTTGCAGCCGTACCGTACGTCAGCTTTACCGCTCACGCGACACGACCTGCAGTCGCGCCTTGGTTTTTTTTTTTGCTTCGAGTTACGTTGCTTTCGCTGTATATTTAGTTTATTTTTTTTCTTTGAGACAGTCCGCGTGTGCCACCACACATCCAATGTGGAACTTCTCACGCAACAGTGCTTAAGTGCAGTGCGAAAAAAAAAAACACGTATACGTACAGACATACTACGTCTACTATCGTCGATACTGTTATCACCATTATTGTTGTTATCATTGCTTTTGGCTAAATAATAACGATAAATTTCACTATAATACATGATAATAATATATGTGCGAGATTCTGAGAAGAAGCCGAGGTCCGCGCTGTGAAAGAAGATACTCGCGCATCGATTTACTTGGAGGGATTTACTCGCTCGCACTTCTTACCCAACGAACGCCAAAATGCTCGTTGACGAGATGCCGCGCAGTTTTGTTAAGAAGAACAACAGCTACAGCCACTGCCCGCTTAAGAAGCGGCCGGTGAACGTGATGCTCGCCGAGGACCTGCCGAAAACCGAGATCAAAGGTAAGGACAAGGACGACGACGTTGAGCCCGTATATGCCTCCGCTATTGCCGCCCCCCTGCCCCCTCCAAAACCACCCACCTAACCGCCCCCGATCATTGCGACGATCAAGCGATCCCAGTCAGCCGTCTAACCGATCGATTTTACTTGTGCTTTCAGAAGAGGTGATCGAGGTCGTCGACGAAATCCCGGAGCCTGAGAATCTCAGTACCAAGCCCGAGGACTTGAGTAGGTCGGCCCCAAAGCGGCCCCGCTCGCCATCGCCGGCTCTCGCTCATTACCCCGTACTCCTTAAGCGCTCGCCCTCGCCGTCTCCGACGCCGTTGGTCCAACTGTCGCAATTGCCAGCCTATCAGCCACGCTACCCGAGCAAGGCGACGACACCGCCGACGGCCGTTGCGCCGGTTCATCCGGTTGCCAAGCGCGCTCGTGTCGAGGTCCTCCAGCACGACAATTCACCGAGCCAGGGCTGCTCCCCCTTGGTGGCGAAGTCCGGCCCCCCGGAGCCCTTGACCATCGGCGGCCCCATCGACTCGATCGGTCACTACCCCAGCCCCGGCTGGCCCCGAGCAACCGCCGCCCCGCTCTATCCGGCCCATTACCTGCCCTACCCAACGGCCTACCGTTACCACGGCGCCGATCTCTACCCCGCCTATCCCGTGCCCGCTTACCCGCACTCCTCGCCCGAGCATCACCGCTCGGTCTCGCCCTCGCCGCCCCACGCGGCCCTCACCTGCCCCGCCGTCCAACGACCTGTTGTCCGTGGCTACGCCGGTCACTGGGCCAGTCCCGAGCACTGCGGCCTCTCGCCAACCGGCTCCATCGGCTCCCTTGGCTCACTGGGCTCCCTGGGCTCACCGCCCCCGCCTGTCAGCCCCGAGGACCTCTCCTCCCCGTGCAGCGGCAGCGACAGCGGACGCTCATCCGCCGGCAGTACCTCGGCTGGCCCGACGCTCGTCAAGCTCGAGAAGAACTCGGCGTCGCCTCGCTACCAGTGCCCGGATTGCGCCAAGTCCTACTCCACCTACTCCGGCCTCTCGAAGCATCAACAGTTCCACTGCGCCGCGGCCGAGGGTCAAACCAAGAAGACTTTCACCTGCAAGTATTGCGAAAAGGTCTACTTGACGCTCGGCGCCCTCAAGATGCACATAAGAACGCACACGCTGCCGTGCAAGTGCCACCTGTGCGGTAAGGCCTTCTCGAGGCCGTGGCTCCTCCAGGGCCACATCAGGACCCACACCGGAGAAAAGCCTTTCAGCTGCCAGCACTGTAATCGCGCCTTCGCCGATCGGAGCAACCTGCGAGCGCATCTGCAGACGCACAGCGACGTCAAGAAGTACTCGTGCTCCTCCTGCAGCAAGACCTTCAGTCGAATGTCACTGCTTACGAAGCACCAGGAGGGAGGCTGTCCAGGAGTCGCTGTGCCAATCGGCAGCTACGGCTGTTGACGGGCCCGTTCGTTAGATCGCGCGGCTCCGATTGTGCCTTAGGGAGACTCTCAGTGACCCCAGAATGCAGTACAAAACCAAGAGAGACTTTCTTCCTTCGTTATTTTTACCATTTAATTCTTTTCCTCGTCTCTACATTCAACTCATTTTATTCGGCTCATATTTTATAATATGGTTCCATTTTTATTTTGTATGCGACGATTGTGAAGGGCAGCGCGGAGCTGGTTATATTGTCATTGTTGTAAGTTAGGCCGGTGAGACGAGTGACGCGAGACACTTATTATTACCGCGATCGTCGCGGTTTAACCGTGAAACTGTCGTGCCATCTTTGCATTTTCCTCTACTATCTCCTACGCTAATCGTCGTGCCGTTATCTCTCGCCACCGAATTTGATTTTTCTTCCTTTCCTATTGGATCTTATCCCGTTTTTGCGAAACCTTACTTTTTAGTAATTTATGTTCTTAGGTTATTAAGTCGAGAGAAATAAAATAAGATTAAACAAAATGCGCATGTGCGCACCAAAGTGCCATGTAATATTGCGCCTTGACGAACTTATCGTGAGTGTATTTATGTGAAAATGGGATTCGAGCGAGAAACAAAAAAAAAAAAAAAAGCAACCTTTATCTCTGTAAATACGCGTGTATTATTATTTGATAATGTATTGTAAGCCATGGCGAAGTCGAAGAATTCAAAAATTTCTTTCCCTTGGCGGCCATTCAAAGTTTCCTTTTATTTTGCGCATATCATCTTAAGTTATTTGAACACAAGAAACTAGTCATTGTATTATAGTAATTTAATAACAATAATGGGATCAAAAACGTGCCCTTATTTTTAAAAGATGCAGAAACTTTATATTTATGTAATTTCTGAGTCGCTGGGAAACGATAGAAAAATCAACAACCTGAGAAAGTAACTGCAAATACGTTACGGCTGGTATTACTATTTTTCCATAAACGACTCAGGGGCGAGTACCACTATTTCTAGACTTGTATAGAAAGTAAACTATTAAGAGATAAATATATCGCCTATATACATATATATACGTGATTATATATATGTGTGTTTTATATATATATATATATATATATATATATATATATATATATATATATAGAGAGAGAGAGAGAGAGAGAGAGAGAAATTATTTTATATGAAATAAATATGAGAATTTAAACTATAAAACACTGTTATTTTTATTATTGGCACCCTTATCAAAAATTCCTGTTATTTCTAATTCCATTATTTTTAAATGAATTTCGTTCGGAGAAAAGAAATTTTGTCAATTTTTATGTTTATGGTTCATAATATAATTTAAAAATTATTAAAATTATATCGTTCGTTAACTAGTTATTAAATTAGAATAATTGGGGAGAATCGGCAATGTTTCAAAAATTTCTTACCGCATAGACCAATGATTTCATCATTAACATTATATTTTTCCTAACTGAATGTAAAATTGCTTATGCTTGGTGAAACAATAACAAGCAGAGGTAAAAGAGGAAAGAATAATAATCCAAGACTGATTTAATTAGTACATACCATTGATGATAAGATGTTATTTTTACATGACAAAAGCGTTACAATTGAAAACGCGATATTGATTAAAGAAATATTTTAGCGAGTTCAGCACTAATCATCGTATCTCGTTTGAAAGTTAACTTACAAAGTCTTTAGCCTTCAAATTGAAATAACGAGTAATAATTTTGCTAACAATGAACGATATTTAAGGTGAGTCGTTGAGATTTCTCTCGCTAATGCAATATTGCCATAACACGCCACAATAATTATGTGTGTACCTTATGACAATCGAATGAAACTCTACATCAAAACCGCTTCAATAAAAATTTAACTTCGAATTACTTAATAATCTCCGTATATTAAAGCAACATTGACGGAATTACACTTTTTTATAACAAACGATCGCCTATTAATTTCCCAATAAGTCTAAAACTTGACATAAATAATTTTTCAAACTACATTTTATGTTTAATACCATGGATTCTGTAAATAAAGTAATGATTGATAGAAAAATCTTTTAATAAAATGGTAATATCGCGCACGATATTTGGACAAATTTTAATGTAATATGGAAGAATCTCATTTCGTCTAAGTATCAACATATTAATTTTATATTAACTAAAATGAAGTTTACGTCTTTTATTATAAGTGCAGTCTTATAGTATACGAAACAGAAGCGTACCTTCATTATTTAAGAGAAGTACAATGACTCATACATTATGAAAATTGAACATGTATGTTCGCATATTTATAATGAATATTGCTGAAAACTTATAATTTTCATTTTTTCTAATAGAAGCAAAATCGTAATTATTTATGGTTTTGTGTGTGTGTGTGTGCGCGCGCGCGTGTGTGTGTGTATGCATGTATATAATGTAAATAATTTTTCATTATAAAATGGACAAATTTATTAGCAATTTACTTTTCCAATTATCCATACAAGTGTGATAAATTTGTGAATTATTGGGGAATAAAGTTGCGAACAAAAAGCTTTCTAAAGCATCATCGATTTTTTTCTCCTCCCTGAAAATGCATAAATACATAAAACACATCCAGTTGCAGCATCGAAAAAAAGATTAAAACACGTTTTTACCTCGGAGAGTACGTTAAATATAGAGGCTTCCCATAACGTACGTAATTCGTTCGTTACATACAAAACGCCAGGATACGCGCGAACAAGTTTCTCGCGATGCCGAGGAAATACTCGATGCTCCCGGGGTCCTGAGTATTATTGAGCGCCGGTTTATACGCCAGTTCGCAGGTCCCCTCCTTTTTCCCAAATGGTCCAACGGTTCGCGTCGCAGCGACCGCACCGACGAGAGTAAAAAAAGTTTCGTCTTGGCGACGTTAGCCTCTGAGCCCTCCCTTCCCGTATTCCGTCAACCGCGATCACCTGCTGGATTTTTGGCGTATTTATAACCGACGTTAGAAAATCATAGTTGACTACTTTGCGCAGTAACGGAGAAAATCCGAGTTGCTGATGATATTGTTACGAAGGGTCGACGAAGCTTTCTGGGGAACGGGACTTTTCAGTACCTGTGTACTTTCAAAGAGCCATATATATTAATCTTTACAATTGAAGTTTAGGGCTTTTATTCGTTGCGGAACGTGGAAAGCATTCAAGAAAATGTTCGTTAGCGTTTACTTTTCAGTCGATAATTTTGAGATTTGTACGAGTAAACAATGAATCACTTCCGCCCTTTAAAGCAATTTAGCTTTCTTCCATTAAATATATTAAATATACTAATAAATAGTCGATGCAACATTCAACATTGTAAATATACAAATATGCATATTAAATTTGAAAAATGTTTAAGTCATCGTGACAGGAGAAACACGATATCTTGCAGTTGATAAATTCTTTGGCTATCATTAATTTGATTATAAAAGTTTTACAAAAAAAAAAAAAAAAAAAAAAAAAAAAAAAAAAAACCGGAAATAACTTTAAAAGTAATGCCTTCGTAAAATGTTATCGCTCTTTGATAATCTTTCGTGTCAAAAAATATAAAATTCCAATTGTCTTTGAGTACGAGTACAAAACCATTTCCACGAAAAGTTTAAAACAGCCGTTTACCGTATAAACACACGGGTTTCTGGAAATATAGGGAGGGGCTCGTAAATGCTTGGCTTGACGTGCCCTCTTTATTATGCTTCTAAGATTTTCCTTCTATATAGGATCCCGCGAATAATCTTTGTTTGAAATCGAAATTTCGATCAATACGTTGCGCTGATGTGTTGGTTGCCGAGCCGCATTATTAAAATCGATACAAGTTAAACTAGATTAATGTTAAGAGAATCTAATGAAGAAAGTAATAGAACAACAATGATATTCCAGGGTTAAATCTGCTTAAGCATTAGACGATACGGAGAAGTACCTTAGACAATTGCCTTTAAAAATTAATAACAATTACGTTGGTATGGCGGGGTGTAGAAGCTCCGAAGTTATTGTTAATGTTGAAATTGCGTCGAGACGAATGTAAGCTACTTAAAAGACCATGAAAAGTCTGCAGCAATCAAAGTACAGGGAAAAATATTGAGTAAATCCGTGCAATAAGTTGGAATATCCTCGCCCAATGGGCCCGACAGGTGTTCGCCTTTTTAATGTGTCGCAGTAAAGTTTGCGATGACGAAGTAGACGATGACGAGGAATACGATGCGTCTTCAATGTTGAGAATGGTAGCAGACTAAAGAGGAATAGAAGGTGTAGTATCTTGAGAGAAAGCCGAAAGGAGAGAGGGTCGGTAAGGGAGCGAAAGACAGAAAGAAAGAGGGAGAATGAGTGAGAAGTTGGGCTTCGTTCGCTCGAGGCTTTTATGGCGACTGGTTCGATCGAACAGGTGCGTCTTATACCTGGTACAGGCCATTCTTTACACCAGGCAGCTAGTATATATACTTTTGCTGCAAAGCAAAGACGAGACGGGCTAAGAGAGAGATAGATAGATCGATAGAGAGAGAGAGAGAGAGAGAGAGAGAGAGAGAGAGAGAAAAGAGCGAGCGAAACGGCCATCGAATGTACGACAAAGGGTGGTAACGAGAACAAGAATAAATCCAGTTGAGGCTTGAACAAAGGCAAACAGGTTGACACCATTTTAATTTATTATTTTTTTATTCTTACGCATTGCACATTTTTAAACTCTTCGGCAAAGTTTATTGCGGTAGCTCGCATTTATTTAACATACACTCCTTTACCAAATTTACTCCCGTGTGGCATCGCAGTTAATACGCCCTTGGAGAAACTTTTGCTTATTTGTCCTAAAATCCGGAGGTGGCTTCTACAACACTCCGAGACATTATATATGACTTTAGCTACTTAATGCCTCTCCACTTCAAACTTTTCTTCTCTTCGACATTTCAATGATAAACAAAGTAAGAAATCTCTCCGCGAATTATTCAATATCTAATTATCAATGTCACTATTCCTTATACATAATCATAATAATAACGACTTTTCAATCAATAATGGCCTTATCGCACAGTGGATATATATGCGGATGGTGCCATTGTTATTTGTATTATTGCTTGGTTGCTTAGATTTACAAATATATAGTGCGATTGGAAAATGATCCTTATACTCATTTTCAAGCATTATTCTGAAATATTGATGGTCATTGGTAATTTGCTTGCTTAAAATTAAGAAGCCGTCAAATTCAATTTAAACGCTCTTTCTTTATCAGTGAACGAATGTAGGAAGCCAGAGAGCTAATTAAAATTTATAAACTTTAATGTAATAAATGCGATCGGAAAGTCATAAAATTAACTATGCATTGATCCTTTATAATTCAATGCAAAATTCCGTATTCTTTGTTCGGTTTTTATAGCGAGATTATGTAAAGAACGTATGGTCGAGCAGGTATATGTCGAGCTCGTGAAGTTTTCAGGGAAAGGTTTCTCCAACAATTTAATTTGTAAAGCAAAGCGAACTGCCTAAGAATTAAAATCGCTTCTTTGTTGCGCTCTTTGAAAGGAAGTAACATTA